GAGAACCGTAGCAGCCATGCCAGAAAAGAGGAACTGGGAGGGGGTCTTTCAGAGACGGGAAGGTGGGTGGCTGAGGCATTTGGGAAGTGGCACGTCACGTAGGCAGCTGTAGGGGAACAGGCAGCATGGGGGGTGATGCTGTCGAGTGGCACTGGCTTGGGAGAGCAGCCACAGCCTGAGCCTGGATGAGGGGGCTATCAGAGAGGCCAGAAAGGCTATCAAAGGCCAGAAAGCCAGCCAGAAGAACAGACGAGCGTGTCGGACACTGGAGCCGAAGAGTGTCTGGGACCCAGGGATGAAAGAGGCCGTCTTGAGTCTCACTTGAGTTAGGCCAGGATCCAATGAGCTCAAGGCAAGGAGGGGACAAAAGGGGAGGTGGGGACCAGGGTGGGCCTGGGTCACTCGAGGAAGGGGGAGCCAGAGTAGGGAGAAGGGCAGAGCAGCAGGTCCTAGCAGGAGACCACGGAGGAGGAGGGGGGAGAAGGTCAGGAACAGCTGGGGATGGGAAGCAGAACAGAACACCTGAAGCAAGTGGGCCAGGCCACACCTCCGCCTGCCACGGCCCCAGGCGACCAGCCCAGCCCAGCCCTGGTGGGGGAATCCATCCCTGTCTCTCCATGGGAGCCAGCACAGGGCCTAGGAGGGTGGCATCTCACTGCCCTTCTGCTACAGGGCTGGGCACGCAGTACGACCTCAAATCTGCCTGTGGTGACCCTGCCCATTCAGTCCAAGAATTGATACCCAAGACTTCCAATAGCTAACAGGTATACTGAGCACCTATTATGTGCCAGGCACCCCACCAGCCATGATCATCCAATCTGCGTGACCAGGCGGCCCCCTTCTTACCATATTCTTACCATATCCTACTTGGTTTGCATCTCCCACCCCCTGCCTCATTTCCCAAAGCCTGTTGGGCATAAATCCTGTGCAGAGGCTGGGCAGGTCTAGGACAAGCAGGATTCTGTTGTTTTGTTTTGTTTTGTTTGTTTTTTGAAACAAGAGTTTCGCTCTTGTTGCCCAGGCTGGAGTGCAATGGCACAATCTCCGCTCACCACAACCACCGTCTCCCGTGTTCAAGCGATTTTCCTGCCTCAGCCTCCTGAGTAGCTGGGATTACAAGCATGCGCCACCACACCTGGCCAATTTTGTATTTTTGTAGAGACGGGAGTTCGGGAGTTGGGAGGCTGAGGTGGGCAGATCACTACCTGAGATCAGGAGGACCAGGGGCTGGATGAGGGAGCAGGAAAAAGTAATAATAGTAATGAATTAAGATAATTTGAAACAAAGGAAAAGGTGATGCTTTTCCAGGCTGGTCCTGAACTCCCAACCTCAGGTGATCCGCCTGCCTCGGCCTCCCAAAGTGCTGGGATTACAGGTGTAAGCCACCGTGGCTGGCGGACAAGCAGGATTCTAAGGAGGAGTCTGCCCCCCACACCTAAGTCCTGATGGAAGAACAGCAGGAAAGAACTCTACCTGCTGAGGGGTAGGGTAGGCAGAACACAGAGGGCTTCCAGCAAACAGCAACAGTGGGGGTTATACAGCCCCTTCCCAATGAAGAGGGCTGCGTGCCTGACCCTGGAGCCCTCAGGCCATATTTAGACTCTGTCTCACAGCCTCTAGTCCCCTTCGAGTTAGGCCTTACAGGCAGGAGCTCACAGATCCATGCCCTTAGAATAGCCAAGGCCCAGGGCAGTGAAGTGACTTGGTTAAGATCACACAGCCAGCTGATGGCCCTACAGCCCTGGAGCTCCCCAACAGGGAGCTCTTGCTGCAAAAACATGGTCCCCAACCCCTGGGAGGTTGGAGTGGTCTCATCTCATTCCTGGGCCGTCCATCAAATCCCGGCCCTCACTAGTGATAGGTATGATGAGCCCCATCTCTGGGGAAACTGAGACGGGGGGGCGGGGGGAAGATGCTGCAACAGTGTCATGCGGGAACTTGAACGCTGGCTTCTGCTGACCAAGTCCCAAGAGGCCAGCACTGTGTTAGATACAAAAGTCCTCAAGACGTTGTCCTCACCTCATCACCTTGGAGCAGGCTTGGCACCAAAACTATGGATGTGTGAAACTGTGGGGGATTGGAAAGGGGCAGTCCAGTTTGGAGGACACCTTGAAGCTGCCTCTGGGTTTGGGGTTCAGGGCCTACGCTCAGGAGCCCCAAGGAAGAGGATCCACCCAGGCTGCCGCAGCGTCCAGCCACCACCACCCACCCCAGGAGAGCAGCCCAGGGCCGGGGCCATGACCAGGACCTGTCCATTAACAAAGCCCAGCCACCAAGAGAAAGATAGCAGTTCATTTCACAGGCCAGGAAACCAAGGCCAGAAACACCACTGGCCCCACCATGGCCACCGACTCCTAATCCCAGCTCCTCCTATTCTAGAATAAACAGTCCCAAACATACACCTGCCAGAGCTGCCATCAGCTTGGTCAGAGTCACCTTGCAAGTATGACTCTGAGCAGGACCCCTCCCAAGTGCTGCAGGGTCTGGGTGAGCTCTTAGGACACCAAGCACCTAGAGGGTGCTGGCAGCTTGGCCCCTGACTCTAAATCCCTGTCTCCACACCCAAACGGGTATCTATATAAAAATACAGAGCTAAAGGTAACCCCCAAGCTCTGCCTCTCGCCCCTGCCCCCGGCTCCTCAGTCCCTCATCCTTTCCACTCGCATTTATGAAGCACCTACTATGATACATGCTCAGCACCCAGCTAGGCCCCGGGGGATGCATGCAGGAAGTAAGCCACATTGAGGATTCTGTGGGGGTGAGCCTGGCAGCTGGCTCATCCAGAAGGGTGCTGGGAATATAACAGGGGTCCGGATGGTTGGGGAGGGGTCCTTGCCCAGGACTTAAGGCTCTCTGACTCTCCATCCATCTACTGGAGGCTCTCAGCTGTGTGTGGCCCTGGCCTGGATGCCTCCTGGGAAGGACATTCTCTGACTTGAGATCACTCCGACTCCAGAAACCACTGATTTTACCTAGAGGTCCAGAGAAGGAAGTCCACACTCTCAAGGTCACACAGCAACTAACTCAGCAGCTGTTTTGCCTGGGCCCACCCCACATAAGACACAGGCTTCCTGCAGACAAGGCTGCTCCCCAAACACAATTCACCCCAGGCAGGACTGCCCCAACCTCCCCAGGTACCACACACCCACCTCAAGCACTTTCTCCTAAGCCAGCCTCCTTCCTGCTGGGGTACAATGCCAACAAATACACTGGTTGCCTTCAACTCTCTCCCTTTAAGAGTCTCAAGCAAGCCGGGCGCAGTGGCTCACGCCAGTAATCCCAGCGCTTTGGGAGGCTGAGGCAGGTGGATCACCTGAGGTCAAGAGTTCCAGACCAGCCTGACCAACATGGTGAAATCTCATCTCTACTAAACACACACACACACACACACACACACACACACACACACACACACATAAATTAGCTGGGCATGGTGGTGTGTGCCTGTAGTCCTAGCTACTCGGGGAGGCTGAGGTAGGACAATCACTTGAACCCAGGAGGTGACGGTTGCAGTGAGCCAAGATAGTGCCACTGTACTCCAGCCTGGGTGACAGAGCGAGACTCCATCTTAAACAAAAAAGAAGAAGAAAAAAAGAAAAAAAAGAATCTCAAACCTTAGGGCAGGGCGTGGTGGTGTTAAGCCTGTAATCCCAGCACTTTGGGAGCCTTAGGTGGGAGGCTCACTCGAGCCCAAGAGTTTGAGACCAGCCTGGGCAACATAGAGAGACCCCACCTCTATTAAAAAAAAAAAAAAAAAAAAGTCTCAGCCCACTCCACACCTCACCTCTACCAGGAGCCCACTCTCTCTGCAGCCCCTGCTGGGGATGAAAGGCTATCCTTCCCCTAGCACGGCAGCTCAGCCTTTTCTAGGTGCCATGGAATGAAGAGGATCCTGTCTGCTTGCCTACGTTTCCAGGGGGGCTGCCCTCACTCCCCAGCTCTAGATGGGGCGTAGCTCTCTCCCGCGACCACTCATCTGGCCCAGGGTGCACAGGAATACAACATGCCCTCATTCTGGCCACATTTCCTCCAGGACCTGGTCTTTCCAGGCCACTGAGAAGAGGAAGTGTTTGCCCAACTCCACAAAAACACCACAACCTTTCTGCACATACAGGGCAGGGGTCCCACATCACATGGGCCAGGAACTGCAACTCCCCCTGAGAACCAATGGCTGAACAGACACAGCCACTGGGGCCACTAATGCAGGACACGCAGCCTGCTGCCCCACTCCAGACTGCAGGGAGGGTCCCACTTCACGACTCTGAGCGCCTCCAGACTTCGGGAGACCCACAAGGAGGTTCTGCCCTCAACTTGGGAGCCACCCTGGCAGAGACCCAGCCTCTCTTTCCCAGTTGCACTGCTTTCCAAGTCTTCATCCAGCCGAGGGGACTGAGGGATGAGTTGGGAGGGTGGGCTGGGGGTCCCTCCTCTAGGTGCATGCCCCAGAGCCGTGCACACTCTTCCCATAACCTGACACGTGCGTTCCTGATGAGCTAGGAGGAGTTGACGCTGTCACCCCGGGTCGGTCGGCTGCCCACCCTCCGCACCCTGCACTCGGAGAGAGACGCCCGACCCCTCCCCCGGAATGTCCTTCCATCTCCCGGCTGCGAGTCGGCTCGCCTGCGGGCAGGGAGGGGGCACATAGCACCTCTCCGGGTGGCGGCACAGACCCGGCGGGGACGCCCCCCACATCCTCACGACCAGGGAGGCGGCCGCGGCCCAGACCCAGTGCGGGACGGCGAGCGCGCGCGGACCTACCCGCTCCACATCCCGGCGCCTCCGGCGCCCGGGCGTCCGTTCCCAGCGCCGCCGCCGCGTCCTCCCGCGCCGCGTCCCCGCCCGCCGCCGACTCCGCCCGGGGCCGAGCCGCGCCGCGCCAACGCCTGTCAGCTCTGCTCCCGGCCGGCCAGTCAGTCTGTGCCGCCAGGGCTCGCGGCCCCCAGCCCAGCTCAGACCCTGCCCTGGGCGGGTCACGTGGCTGAGGGGGCGGCCCGAGGACACGTGCCCGGCCCCGCCCCTCCCCCGGCCCCACGCTGCGATCCGGCGCGCGCTCCCAGGGCCCGGCCCCACCCGGCCCGCAGCGCCGGGACACGGAGACCGCGGCGCGGGGAAGGAACCCGCCCCCAACATCCCGGGGCCCGCGCCGCGCTCGAACTCTCTAGCTGACTCTGACTCTTCCTCTCCAGTCGCCCTCTGCACCACCCACTTTGGGCCACCCCTGCTCAAGAACCTACAATGGCTCCCGGGCTCTCCTATTCTCACACAGATTGTCACTTAAGGCCAGCAGACACCCTCCCCCCTCCTCACCCGACACTCCTTTCCTAGGCCTTCAGCTTAGTGCCTGTCCCTGTGCGACATCCTGCCTGCTGGGAAGGGGAGGGCACAGACCCAAAACAAGTTTTCTGAGTCCTGCTCTCTGAGTTTGATCCTGAGGGAGTTTCCACCTCTGATCCAACTCTCCTACCCGGCCTCCTGCCTCCTAACACACTCTGCCCATCCTGCCTTTACCCACCATCTGCCCTCTGGATGGTATTCCCCTCCCCCCCACACACACACACCAGTCCACATATACACACACCTGTCTGGTCCCACATCCTCTGTGAAACCTTTCCCTGAACCCCAGACCACTGGTCCTGTCCCTCAGTTCCTCTGTCCCACCCATTCTGAGCCCTGATCATTGGCCTCAGCTTCAGCCTGGGACTGGACCAGTGAGAGCAGAAGCCCTCTTCTCTCCCACCAGGAACCATGGCTCCCACCTTCTCTGTCTGGGGGAGAACTGGGAGTGTGGGGGGAGGTACTTCCCCTTCTAGGTGCTACCAGAGGTCTGGGTGCTACACCTCCAGGTCCACTGACTCAGGCCCCAGGCTCGAGTGAGTTAGATCCTCATTTGAGGACACATGTTATTCATTCACTCAACTCATTCATATAGTCAACCACTCCATCTGAGCACAGACTGTGGGCCATACAAGGGCTGCGGACCCAGAAGGAAACTACAGACACAGGCTCTGCCTTCCTGGGGCTCCACAATGGTGGAAGGATGGAGGATGGGGGACATATTCTCCAGGACTCCGCATCCAGGACACAAATAGATAACAATGCTCCTTCCTCACTGGGCATAGTGCACACCAAGGTATGGACCCTGGAGAGTGGAGGCCAGGCTGGATTCTATACCTTGCTTGCTCGCTTGGCCTGCACTTTGTGCAGTGAACAACCTCGACAGCTCTCCATAGCATCCTTTCCATCTTTCTAGAATCACTCAGCCCCGGTGTCCCATAGCCATCACTGCAGGGTGGTTGTTTCCATGGCCATGGCTTCCAGAGGGCAGGGATTCTCACTTTCTTGGTGTTCCCCCACCCCACCCCCAGCCCAGCTCAGGGCCTGGCCCACCCAAAGCAGGTGTCCACATGTGTTTGCTGGCTTGAGTCACTCATCAGTAGGTCTTGAGCAACTGCTGTCTTCCTGGCCCTTGTTCTGCTCACCATTGAGGGGAGGAGGAGAAAGTGACACAAAAGGAGCCCAGTACAGAGCCTTTGCCCTCCAAGTCTTCACAAGCCCTGGCAGGAGATAAGGCATGGCAGCCAGACCACTGGGAGATAAAGGGTGGAGGAGGCGGCAGCTCAGGGCCCTGTCCCTGGAGGAAGAGTCCTCAACCTGGGAGGGCCGGTGGACTGGGGAGGCTCTTGAACGAGGTCTCAAAGGACAAGTGTGTGGTCACCACTCTGGAAGCATCAACACTCAATTTCTAACCAGAAATAGCCTGTCATCCGTACTTCCTGCTACCATGGACTCTCAAGCCTCACTGCCTCCCCCATAGGGAGGACTCTACTGCTCAGCTGAACTTGCTCCTCAGCTGAAAAGGATGAGCTCAGAGAAGTTAAGGAACCTGCCTGATATCACACAGCCAGGGGCAGTGGGGCTGAATCCTCTTATATCAGTTTTCCAAAAAGATCACCCAGAAACTCGAGGCTCACTTGTAGCTGCAGCTGTGTGCAGCCAGGCAGCAAGAGGTTCCTGAGCACATGATAGGTGTCTGGCCAGTAGCAGGGAAGTGAGAAACACAAGTTGTGTCCTCACCGGGCGAGTGGCTTACGCCTGTAATCCCAGTACTTTGGGAGGCCAAGGCAGGCAGATCATGAGGTCAGGAGTTTGAGACCAGCCTGGCCAATATGGTGAAACCCCATCTCTACTAAAAAATAAAATAAAAATTAGCCAGGCATGGTGGCGCACACCTGTAGTCCCAGCTACTCAGGAGGCTGAGGCAGGAGGATCGCTTGAACCTGGAAGGTGGAGATTGCAGTGAGCCGAGATCGTGCTACTGTTCTCCTGCCTAGATGGCAAAGCAAGACTCTGTCTCAAAAAGAAAATAAATAAGTTGTGTCCTCTGCCCACAAGCCACTGCCCTCCTCAGCCTCCCTCCCTCCATCCCCTCCTGCCTGCTTCATCCTGAGCCTGGCAGTCTTGACCACAGACCCTTGGCTGAAGGCAGCCGAGGAGTAGGAGACAGTCAGCCTGGATGACCCAGGCCCTGATTCTGGACTTCCAGGCCTGTCCTCAGCTCACTGTGTGACCCAGGACAAGCATCTTGTCCTGTCTGAGCTTCAGTCTCTACCTCTGAACAGCCACCAAATTGAGCAAGACAATCCGAGCCATTCCCTGGGACTCTCTGAGCCCAGCTTCTCACACTGGCTGCCCCGCAGCTTGCCAAGATTCCCCCTCCCTTCCAAGCCCCAGGTCCCGAGTTCACCTGTCTGTGCCCCAGGGCTCCTCTCTCAAGTTCCCTTCAAGGGCAGGGCACAGGCCTAATGGGGTGTAGCGGACGGTCCCTGCACTCATGGCCAGGAACACAGGGCATGTCCCTCGGGCGGGGCAGCCAGCGGGCTCCTCAGTAGAGTCCATGCTTGGAGGGCCAAACTGAGGGTCCCTCTGAAGGGTGCTGGACAGGGAGGTAGCAGGAGCCTTCTTCCCGCATCCAGGCTGAGCCTCACACTAACCTTTGCTATCTCCCCAGAGCAGCAGCCTGGGAGGGAGGCGCCACCTCCCAGGACAGCCGCTATCTCCTTCAACCCCGTAATTATTAACTCATGTGGTTCCTCCGGCAGCAGAAGACACTGGGCCCTCCTTCTGGGCTCTGGGCCAGGGGAGGTGAGACACCCCGAGGGGAGGTCCCGTGTTTCAGCCAGGCTCCCAGATGAGGCTTGTCCCCTCTCCACGCAGCCTGGGGCATTGGAAAGAGCCGGTCCAGCCTTGACCCTGTCATAGCTAGCTGCGTGACCCTAGACAGGCCCTTCTGCCCATGACCACAGGCCTGAATATCCCCTTCAAACTCTGTTATTTTTTTTTAATTTTTTTTATTTTTATTTTTTCTTTTATTTATTTATTTTTTGTCTTTTTTTTTCTTTATTTTTAAATTCTGTTTCTTAGATTTGAGATTCCCTCTTTTTTATTTTTTATTTATTTATATTTTTTTTCCTGAGATGGTGTCTTGCTCTGTCGCCCCGGCTGGAGTGCAGTGGCGTGATCTCAGCTCACTGCAACCTCCACCACCCAGGTTCAAGTGATTCTCATGCCTCAGCCTCCCGAGTAACTGGGATTACAGGTACGTGCCACCACACCCAGCTAATATTCTTAGTAGAGACAGGGTTTCACCATGTTGGCCAGGCTGGTCTCAAACTCTTGACCTTGTGATGTGCCTGCCTCAGACTCCCAAAGTGCTGCCATCACAGGCGTGAGTCACTGCACCTGACCCTTTATTTTTCAAGACAGGGTCTTGCTCTGTCACCCAAGCTGGAGGGCAGCCTCAAATTTCCAGGCTCAAGCAATCCTCCTACCTCAGCCTCCTGAGTACCTGGGACTCCAGGTGTGTGTCACCATGCCTAGCTAATTTTTAATTTTCTTTGGAGAGACAGGGTCTCACTACCCTTAGAACTTTTAACCACCACCACCAAGGAACAACTCGGTGTAGCAGCTGGGAACACAGGCCTGGGGTCACGCAGGCTGGATTCAACCCCACTGTCAGATGGTGTGCCTTTGAGCACACGTCAGCCTCTCTGTGCCTCAGCTTCTCCAACTATGAAATGGATTCTCACCCTCCAAAGTGCACCAGGCCAGTTGCCGCTGCCCCGATGTGCTCATTCCTCTTCTTTCCACCCATAGTCCCCTCTGTCTGCAGTCTCCACTGCATCCCACCTCTGCTGGTAAGTTTCTCTTTCACTCATCCCCGCTCCTCTAGAAAGCCCTCCCCTGTGGGTTACTTTTTTCCTCTGTGGGCACCAGAGCCCTCATACACATGGTTAGCCCTGTGTCATGACAAACACCCCATGGTACCATTGGATACTCCCTCAAGAACTGAGCCCAGCCTCTGCCTATCCTCGTCACCCTTCTCAGTGTCCCCTTGCCTGGTACGCAGTCAGACTCCATCCACCTGTGGGATGGTATGAATGTGCCGCCCTGTCTTCATCTGGCCTGAATTCTCATCCTAGTTCTGCCCATTCCCTGGTTGTGTGGCCTTGGGCAAGCCACTTAACCTCTCTGGGACTCAGTTTCCTCATGTATATAAAATGGGAACAGTTCTCCCCTGTGAAGTAGTGAGTATTAAACAGATAACATTTGCGGCAAGGTGCAGGGGCTGACACCTGTAATCCCAGCACTTTGGGAGGCCGAAGTGGGAGGTTTGCTTGAGGCTAGGAGTTCAAGACCAGCCTAGGCTACAAAGCAAGAACTCATCTTTATTACTTAAAAAAAAAAAAAAAGTTTTTTTTAAAAAAGGGGCGGGGCATGGTGGCCCATGCCTGTAATACCAGCACTTTGGAGGCCGAGGCGGGTGGATCATGAGGTCAGGAGTTCAAGACCAGCCTGGCCAAGATGGTGAAACCCCGGCTCTACTACAAATACAAAAATTAGCCAGGCATGATGATGGGTGCCTGTAATCCGAGCTACTTGGGAGGCTGAGGCAGGGAACTGCTTGAACCCAGGAGGCAGAAGTTGCAGTGAGCTGAGATCTCACCACTGCACTCC